CCCCAGCCTGAAGGCTTCGTACCCGCTGGCTCTGCAGGGAGAGGACTCCTGCCCTCTGCTCCCGCCCTCCCTGCTCCGCGGGGCCGTGCCGGTGAGAGCTCCTCGGGTCGGGTTTTGCACACGCGGAACCCTCCGTGCTTGGCAGGAATGGGATAACGCTAACGAACGGGTTTTGTGGCGTAGGCGAGCGGCGTGATCTTTTCGTGATGCGCTCTTTGTTCAAATGCTTTATTCACCGACTGCTGGCTAACGTCTCCTTACTCCTCCTGTGAATGTAGGTTCTGTCGGGCTAAATTGGCATCCTCCTCCTTAACGTACAGACTTACAGGCTTTCAGTGTCAGATCTCTACATTTTATGCCCTAAAACAATTTTTTTTAACCTATGTATGTTAGCTGGGGTAGTCATGGTTATTAATAAGAGCTGGACTTCATTTTGTCTTTTGCATTGTGAGTAGAATTGCTGGCTGTCTCCCAGATGTGAAGTCTTAACAGTGGTGTCAGGGACTGGGAGAATCCATGTGATGTCAGAGCAAGTATGCAGTGATGATGAAGGAGAAGTAGTAAGGTCTTGTAAAGGGAGCAGATCAGATCTGTAACCTGTAGTAGAGTGAAAAGACACCCTCTGTGTCATTTCTTGCATGATTATTTTGCTGATACACTCCATAATTTAAGAGTTTGATCTTACAAACAACTGTATGCAGAATTAAAGCTTTAATCACATCACGACTTTGATGAATTTCCTACGATAACTAAACTTGTGCAAGTAGGAGTGGCTCATGTAAGTACAAGTGCTTTCATCAAGGTAACAAGCTTTAGGCTGGACATGAGCACAGAGTATCCAAGAACTCCAGCAAACCACTTCCAATCTTTTCCATAGTCTAGTCCAACTGCTTTCTTGGAAACGTTATTTGAAATGTTTCTTTCCCCTTCCAGCCATTGTGCCGTTGCACCACATCCTACGGAGATCTCTGTGTGAATGGATTCCTCTCCCTAGACCCACGCAATCATCAGAGCTTGTCTGATGCAGATTTGGACGGGGCTTTATTCATTTCAGACATGGTGTAGCAGATTGGAGAACTGGAAAAAGGTAGCCTAGTACATATATTCTGAACTGCTTGGGATTACACTCACTGTGGATCTTTTACACTTTGTGTTGTCCTGATATTTGGTGGAAACTGAAGGTCGTTATCGGTAACTTAAGTATACTGTTAGGAACCTTTAAAACAGAAAGGAAATTTTGATGGCATTATCATTTATTAACAGCTTTGTGAACATGAGTTTTCTATTTCTTTTTCTTTCATGCAATATAATAAATGATAATTAGGACTCCAGTACCATTGCAGATACATTATGAGAAGTGCAAATATATATTTGTCTTGCTGTTATAAAACAAATACAATGAAAAATTAATCCAGTGATTTCATGGGCATGGAATACCTTTTTGCACTGTTTGGTTTGTTTATAGTTTGGACTTCTAACTATGTAAGCTGTATATAGCTATATATGCAGACCAGTACATTGTTAGTGCTTCAGGCCAATTTCTGAAGAATATTGCACCTGAAAAGTTACATTGACTTAGTGAAATTGCTCATCTATTTCTAAAGAATGTCAGTAGATGGCTTATCACAAGATCAATACAGTTACACTTCTCCAGGCTGAGCTCCTCTATAGTCATAAAAAAATGCAGCCCTATTGCACAGATGGGGTGTGAGGTTTGCAAGGATTCCAGAACTTTTCAGCCCAACAGAGAATTTGGGCCCATATCTGCAAAATTCAAAGTTGGCTCGGTTCTTACTCACTATAGTATGAACACGTGCAAAGCACTTCTTCTTACCTTGGACTTTATGACTGACTCAATTTTAGTACATATATATTTATGTATTTATGTATGTTTATAAATGCTTTTTCTACTATGCAAAACCAAGTTACTTGGATGTTATGTGTACCAAAAGTAAACTCTGTTTTTTTGTGAGTTGGAAGACTTTTCCATTTAAGCTGTTTGCTTGTGTTTCCATCAAAGATTTGATGGAGTTTTTCTGAAAATGAAATGTCCTAGATTTCTGTGACCTCAAAGATGGAGATATGCCTGGTGCAGATTTGATGACTTAAACCTCTTTGTCCTTTGGAACTTACAGTACAGGTTTTTGGCTATATTCAGACATTTGGGAAGTAGATTCTCCTTTAGACTTCCTTTTAGTCTTCCCGGGAGCCAATAAGTGCAGACTTAACCAGCAAAAGTTAAGTTTTACAACTTAAGAAGTTTTACTGGCATTGGCTTCTGTTTCAAAGTTAGTGTTTGTCTCCACTTGAAATGCGTCTTAGTGTACCAGTCAGAGAATTTGCTGCAGACAAATGCACAGCTGTTTTCTTTTACCAGAAGATGTATGACAATCAAAGAAGAAATGAGGAATTGTACTTGGTCCAAAGACCTGCTAAATACAGGCCCTTTTTTTTTGATTCTAAATACATTTATTTAGAGTCCAGTGGTTACTTAGAATATTTCACAAGAAAGTACTAGCTGCAAGTGCAAATACTGTGATCATGCATATGTGTTAAGAGAAGGGCTAAAATGTTACTCAGTTTTGAACAGCTGTGAAAGTGGGTACTCAGTGAACAATACTTTGTGTACGTGGGAGACAGTCTAATACGTTTAATACCCACAAACACATCTTTAATTGTTACTGCTTAATCTCTGCTAAAATCCACTACAACTTTGACCAGAATACTTACTGTATCTGATGCTGTTGAAGTGTGTTAGAGAGTCATTCATATTTTTTTATATGAACTCTGTCTATATAAACAAAAAGAAAGTACACATTGGTTTAGCAAACTGGAGAGTTGATTTTATTTTTTTTCCTGAGGATTTTCAGTAATCCTTATGTTTGTGCTGTAGATGGTGTACGTGGTGTGGTTGGTCTCAATATCTTTAGTTATATAACACAAACATCAGGCTGTGCAGTAAGTCACACAGGGGACAAAGCAGCGTGACTGTAGTTCCTGTTGTACATCAGACTGCGAGCCTAGGCTATGATAGGAAGAGTTGAACTCAGTGGAAAGACTGTCATTGATTTTAATGAGCTCTGGATATGGCCCAAACTCAAGAATCGATGGCTTGACTTTAGTGGAATGCCACCAGCATCATGTTGAGTCATGTGTACACAGATACATGTACATCCTCTTAAAGTTTCAAATAGCTTTCAAAAGCAATGCCAATGCCACAAGCATAGATACCATTTGAATTTCGTCTGTTTCTTCTAAATGAATTCAAACACATTGCATGGGATTTTGTTACCTGATACTGGTTTTAGTGGAAATGTAGTCCTGTCCCCTCAGCATTCCCTCAGATGAGTTTCTCTGCCAATTCTTCTGTCTGTTTAAGGTCCATCTATTGTGCAGTTAAAGCATAAAGCTAAACACATTTCTCTCCATCTGAAGAGGTTTATCTCTGCATCTTTGGTTGACAGCTTATATGTGCTATGGAAGGAGTGCTACAGGTTAGAACTTGAAACCACCTCTTTGGCGAGCAGCAGACACTGAGATTTGCAGCTGATGTTATTAACAAGGA